TGATTTGAAGAAGAAATTAGAGGAAGAAATTGGTCAAGTTAAATCTGGGATTGACGAAAGGTTCGCCACCATAAGGGTGAGGTTTTCTTTCATGAAAAATTAAATGTTTTTCTCGAGAGGTTTTCTTTCATATAGAACTGAATGGAGAACTGATTCAAAAGCCTCAAGGAGATGATAAAGAGGTTCAATGAAATGCAATCCAAGACCCTGTCGGTGGCTCAATTTGCAAACCCTAACCAAATATTAACCAAAAAATCCGTTGCTAAATCGAAAGGAAAAGAGATTGAGCGTGAGGAACATGATGAAAATATCCACCATCACGAACTTTCCCCTACAACTCCATTGGGGGGTGGATTAGAGATTTCTGATGGAGGGCATTGAGTCGGGACATGGAGGGGTTATGTAAGTGGTTGAGAGGAACATGAAAGAGAAAAACTAGAATGAGGCATGGCTATGATCGAAGGAGGGATTTCACCCTAGATACATCGGAGGAAACACCGGAGAAAGCTGCGTTAGAAAGTTGAAAATGTTGATTTTCGAGGGGGAAGATGCACATGGGTGAGTATATCGGGTAAAGCAATGTTTCATGGTGAATGGGATAACTGGAGAGTAAAAGCTCATGGCAGTAGGGCTTTGTTTGGAGGGGAAACCCCTAACATAATATCAGTGGAGGGATACTACATACCAAATCTATTCGTAGGAAGAATTTAAGGATTGTTTGTTGGAACGATTCTAAGTTATTCAAGAAGAAGACCCACACAACCAATTCTATACCTTGAATCAAAAGGAGACTATGATGGAATATAGAAAGAGAATTGAGTTATTGTCGAGACGGCTGAGGGGGCTTTTTGAAGCTGGATTGGACGGAAATTTTATGAAGGGCCTAAAGCCGGACATATGGGCAACATTCCGACTATTGAGCCTGAGGAGTTGAGGGAGATGATGGAGTTGGCCTAGATGGTGGAAGATAAGAACCATATGAAGAAGACCAGCAGAGCAGTACGAATTGAGTAATGTACCAAACTGCTAAAACCATGATGATACCAAAAGATAAAACAGTTGAAGTCCAAAGAGAGACTGCACAAGACAGGAATAATGGGTCGTGACTGAGAGCAACATTTCAGCACTTACAGAGACAGAGATTCAGAAGAAGTGAGCAAAGGGGTTATGTTTTCGGTGGGATGAGAAGTTTAGCCCAAGGCATCATTGCAAGGATTGAAAATTATAAATTATAATAATGCATGATGAGTCAGAAGATGAAGAAATAGAGTCATCTACGGCAGAGGCGCACTCACTTTTTCCTACTTAGAGGACAAGGTATCGTTGGGGAGAGTATTATTATGTTGGTGCATAGCCTAAGGGCAATTTGGTCTTTTGTATGCGAAAGAGAAATTTAGTCTTTTATTATTACTATTATTGGGTATAAATAGGCTTATTATATTTAGGGTTAGGTTTATGCATGAGATTGGGTCTTGTATCTTAGGTTTAGGTTTGGGAGAGATTTCCTACTTCTCAAATTGTAAGAATTGGGGGAGCTTGCCTACCTCCAATTGTATGTGGTTATCTTTGTATTCTTGTTAAATGATTGTTGAGCGTGCAATAAACTATTATTTTCTCAGTTTTTTTGTGTGGAATATCGTGTTGATTTCTATAAATGATTGTAATAGAAGAATGTGAAACTTATGAATTATATATATTGTTTGTTTGTGCATGTTGAATGTGATGAATTCACCCCATTACGGTACTAGTTGGAGACGCTAAGGTACCCATGCATGTATGCTAAAAAAATCATTGATATTAAAGTACATTAATTAGTACAACTTAGATAGTGCTCATGTGAGAGATGTATAAATAAATTATATCGATAAAAAATAATATAATATAATATAATTGAATATTATAAAATTTATTGAAAGATTATATTTGATTAGTAAAGTATTCTTTATCTTATATTGATTTGTCTTTGATAGACTAACATGCATATTATTTCATTATTTGTTATGTTAATGTAGTTTAGAAGTAGAAGTATCTACTGGTTGTTTATAACTCAATATTATTTCAAATTAACATTTTCAGTTAAATTTTTGAATAAAAAGGAGACATAAGACATAACGTGTATAGAAGGCAATACCAGCAAGCAGAAAGGTAAATTTATAACTATAATAATTTAATTTCTTTTATGAGGTGACATTTTCAATTATTTTTGGGTGATTAATCCTTAGTGATAGAAACTAAAAATTAGGAATTTAATTTCCTTTCATTCACACCTTGAAGTTAACAATAGAAGGTGAGATCAACAAACAAGAAGGTAAATTTATAACTGTAATAGTTTAATTTCTTTTCAGAAGTGATTGATTCAATTATTTTTGGTTTATTTATTGTTAGTGATAGAAAAAAATAAAAATTTAATTTCACCGTCCAAAGCCGACCATCTGCTCTCACATGGAAATTCAAATCCTCCAGACCAAGTTGTGATGGTTGCAATAATGAGAGAGACCTTTTCCAATAAGTATCCATAAAATAAACGCTACATATATGCATTCAAGAATGATTAAAAAAATTTGAATTGTATAAGAGAAATGTTAGGGCCATAACTAATGTACTTCATTCTTTTAGTAGCATCTTCTACATTGTCCATTTTCATAAAATTTAGACTTAAAACTAGACTATGAAGTCCCATCTAACACATATACAAGTTTTTTTCTATCTTTTTTCTTTTTTTTTTTTTTTGCAAGAGTCTCTTCACTAAACTCTCTTCACTAAACTAACAATATATATTCACGCATGTTTATAGTGGACTTCCTTGGTATAAATTTTTAAAGTTAGCATTTTGTTGAACCCAAGTCAAGTAAATCTACTGGCGAATGAAATTTTATACTCCAACTACCAAGGTTTAACACTATTCATGAGGCCATGAGCATTACGTTCCATGCACCTAGGTTTATTAGTAGTTCTTGTATCATTGTCACTTTATATGAACCGGAAATTTAAATGGAACAAAGCTGCCACAAAACTTTTTCAGGACTTGGAGTAATGCTCTTGTCCTCAAACTATCATCGAGATCTCTCATGATGCAGCTAGACAAGACAAGATAGTATAGAGCTAATAACTTATCCATTTACTTACAAATATAAAAAGCAAATAATATTCCACCCATACCCGGGGTTATATGCCATTGTGATTGTCAACATACCGCCTAAGAAGTTTATCTTATATTTTGATCACCAAAATGATATTTTTCTAACAAATAACCACGACATGACATATTTAATGGGTTGTGTTTCTCAAGAAATGTACTTTACACTAAAATTGTGAGTAGACATGGAGAGTAAGCCCAATTATGTATATGTTTAATCAAAAGTAAGAAGCGATTTATATCCTTAAACAAGCAGGAGAATCATATACTTTTCAGAAGGGGGACTGCATATGTTTGCTGTAAAAGGCTAGTTATAGCCTTAAAATAGTCCATGAGCTTCATTTCACAATTTCGCAAAGTCACTTGTCAAATTGCATTTATTTTTTATCTTCATCAAACATATTATCTATGGCTTTATCATGCTTGATGATTATGTTGATGGCAATTTATATATTGGAAATGATTCTAATAGCATCTTTGAGGTAAAACACTACTCACAAAAATGTTTTTTCAATAAAAATATGGGATGGCTCAAGTATTTTTTAGGTGTTGAATTTGCATACAATAAATGATGATATCACTTTATCAAATAAAGTACACCATTGATCTTTCTAAACAAAATGAAATTCCTGGTTGTAAGCTCACAAGCACCCGCTATGGAGTCCCAGACCACATCTAATAACGAAAAACTATGAATGACCCATCTCGATACTGAGGGTTAGTTGGCAACTTGATTTATTTGATTTTTACTAAATCAAACACTTCATTCACCGTTAAAATTATCATTCAACACATGCAATAGCATAAATAATTGCATTAGGAAGTTGTCAAACAAATTCTTAGATATAATGAAAGGTCTCCTGGAAAAAGGTTGATATAGAGTAAAAAATTAGACATTTAACTATTACAACATTCTCTGATGTTGATTATATTATCAATGTTTAAGAAAATAAGTATATTTCAAAAGATTTAATTTTTGTTGGAGGTAATTGGGTCACCTAAAAACATAAGAAAATAATTATTGCAGACAAATCCAACGCATGGGTTGAATACAATGCTATAGCTCTCTCAACATTGGAAATGATACACTTTCAAACTCTTTGAGCAGAGTTTGGTTTTCCAATTACTTGGGTTATAACAATATAATATGACAACAATGTTACAATCTAATACTGGCAACAATTAAGTTTTCTATGAACGATCCAAGAACATTGAAATTGAAAATCATTTCATATGAGATATCATATTTTCCAAAAAGAATATTGCTATTTTCAATGCAAAATACATGACGAAAATTGTTACCAAAGCTCTAGGTTATACACTATCTTATTATTTATGTAACAATTAGAGATAACAAACATGTATGTTCCAACATGATAGCGAAATTAGCATATTAAGAAAATAATATCAAGTAAAGACTATATTTGGAGAATAACTTACCTTGGCGAATGTTATAGTGCCATAAATATGTAGATTCTCTGCACTATTTATATAATTTTTTATTCTTCATTTATGTTATTTGTAGGCAACTATATTCAGTCATTAAGACACTAAATTCTTCATTCTCTACAAAGTCCATGTTGATTTGCTTCTTTGAATAATCACATTAATACTTGTATTACTTTTTCTATCATTCATGGCACAATGATTTGTAGGGTTTAGTTTTTTAATAATTAGTTAAATATTAAAATGATTGACATTGATTTTTTTCTTTTTTTACTAGAAAGGGCTCTGAGTAATTGCTACACCTTTATTGATAAATTCAAGCAGTTAGCACAAATCTAGAAAGCTGAAAAAAGGACAAATAAAAAAAAACCATATACAGCTTTTTTTCACCAAAAACGTATAATATAGAATCTCTTACCCAAATATCCACTTTCTCACATATAAGCTCTCTTCTATATAGGTCCCACATCTGTGGAAAACCAAAGTTTGAATAATCATATCGCATTAATAACTAGAAAGTAGCAAGTCATTATAAGAACTCCAAATTCTGTAAAGTTTATCCGTCAAACCTCTGGAGCTCTATATGCAGGAGTAGTATGCTTTCTTATATTGTCCTCCTCAATACCCATTTCTTCTGGTCTGTCAAAGCACTTGTGATTAGTCGAAGTGCTGCCGAAGTCACATAATTTCCAAGCTCCTTCTGACCCAAGGAGAACATTTTCCGCTTTCAGATCCCTAGAGAGAATTAAAGCATTCAGTAGACAAAGATTAAAATTTTGAAGACAATAATCGTCCTTGTGTTCATGCTAAGGTTTTATAATTGCTATGATCTGATTGAAACATGCTATTACAATTAATAAAATATTTCATAAAAGAGAATACCAATGGGAGTTGTGAAATGACAAACCAGTACAAGACAAGATGATACCACCCACACTGACAAGTATATGGAATTGTTGGGGATCTCTAGGAAAAATAGATTGGGAAAAGCGGAAGTGTAACAGTCTAAGGTTCCGTTTGGTGTGGCTGAATTCATGCAATGCGGCGACGGACCGCAATTTGTAGCGTTTGGTTTTCGCGTCGCGCGGTGGCGTTTTTAAAATAAATTGTTAAAACGTGGCCTTAAGTTCGACCCCGCAGCCCACGTTTCTTCTGTCGTGGCCGCAGGTCTAATTACCCTACGGCCCCTCTTCTCGTCTCTCTCAACCCCGCTCCCTCTCCCGCGATTCTTCTGCCCTAGGTATCTCTCTCTCGTGGAACTGTGGCTCCAATGGTTAGTCGTTGTTTAAGGTTGGTTATTTTTTGTTGTGAGTGATTGTTCTCGTGACTCTTACATTCTTCTCCCTCTCCCATCTTTTCTTTCGCTATAATTTTGATGGTTTGTGCACTGTGCTCTGTGTGGTCAAGGAAGTCATTCGGTTTGGTAGATCACTTTCTTCAGTTTGAGGTTTGTATTCTCCCCTCCTCTCTCCCTTCCCTTCTTTGCTCAGTATGGTGGTTGGGCGCATGACCAGCTCTGTATAGTGTTCCCTCTTCCACCTGTCTTCTCTGTTCTTCACCTTTTTTTCTCTCTTCCCTGCGTGGTTGTCCGCATTATGCTAGTCGATTTCATCTTTATTTGCTCAATTTTGGTGATTTTCGGTTTGATATACTCGGTTATGTGGTTTTTGGTGCTTCATGTTGCATCCATACGGGTTTTGGTTTATGCCTTTCTTGCAATGTTGGATGTATTCGAGCTTTGCGGTGATCTTTGGATTTTTTGGTGCTTATCCTGTTTGCAATGCTTCAAGTGCCCTGTATGTGGTCTACTCGATTTTTTTAGGTGTTTATGCTGTGGAGAATTTGGATTTCTTTATGAACTTAGATATTTAATTGGCGAATTTGAAAAATGGATGGAAATTGGCGCTAGATTTGTTAATAGCAATATTTCATATGTTGAGTATTGAATATGGCTGGAAACATGAATTTTGAATTTCAACAGGAATTTCATGCTGGATTTTTATGTTGTTATTTTCAAATTCAATGAAATTTCAGTGGGAAAACTGGATGTATATTTCTATATCAGTGGGAATTCCAGTGAAGAATTTCAGTGGGTAATTCACTGGAATTCCAAGTTGGATTTGTGTACCACTTAAATAACGAGAATTTAGGGTTGGATTTTCATATTGCTATTTTCAATTCCAGTGGAGGTGGTGGTGTAGGAGAGTTGATGTGGTGTGGTGTGGAGATAGTGATGTGTAGTATGGAGGTGGTGGTGTAAGGTGGTTGTGTGATGAGGAGGTGTGGTGTGGTTTGTGGATGCGTTGATGTGTGGTTTGGAGGTGGTGGTGTGGTGTGTGGATGTGTTGGTGTGGGGGTGTCGGGTGGTTGTGTGGTGTGGAGGTGGTGGTGTGTGGTGTGTGGTGTGTGGTGTGTGGATGTGAAGGTGGAGTTGTAGGATGGTTGTGTAATGAGAAGGTGGTGGTGTGGTTTGTGGATATGTTGATGTGTGGTGTTCTGTGAGGACGTGTTGGTGTGGATGTGTCGGGTGGTTGTGTGGTGTGAAGGTGGTGGTGTATATGGCGTATAGGTGGTGTGGTTTGTGGATGTGTTGGTGTGTGGTGTGGAGGGGGTGGTGTGATGCGTGGATGTGTTAGTGTGGTTGTGTCGGGTGATTGTATGATAGTTTTGTTGCAAACAACCTTACAATACAAGAGTAGAATGGTCATTTTTCCAAAAACATCTGCAGCACAGTTGTTCTCAAACTACAAAAAAACAAACAGACAGGCGGTTTATCCGCAGTAGTTTCATGTGACAAGTGTCCCAAACATACCCTAAAGCTAAAGATAAGCAATGGGCATTCCAGAGAAATATATCAGTACACATCAGAAGTCATAAATAATTTGAAAGGAGGAATCAGGAATTGTGAATCAGTGCTTTAGTAATAACGTAGCACAAGTAACATATAAATATCTCAAACGTTACTCATCGGTACACTCATCATTGTGTACTCATTGTGTGCCTTAATAAAATAAAGCGCTGTGCGGGTATACCAGTGGATGAAATATGTAGGACCGTTTAAATCCCACTCATAGAGTTAACTTGAATCACTACATGGCCATGAATGAAAGCATCATTGTTCAAAAGCAGAAATTTTTTTATCCAGAGCTCATGAGTACTTCTCAAATAGAGCTTACAAAATACTTTACCCATGCAAAATAAGCAGAGCACGCATCCAAATCTCTAATAATACCAATTGCATTGCAATCAAAACTTAAATGTGCCAATTTTAATATCCTGTCTCCACCTATAAACTTAAATGGCTGGATTTACATCTAAAAAACGGAATTCTAAAGCTAACATTTGATGTTATTATTAAAAAGGGGCATTTACATGCAAACCCCCCAATTCCTATGTATTTACATATCTAACACCTAAATTTTAACTTTTACATTTATACCACTCAAATCTTAAACATCACATAAAAAATACAGCTATTTTAAGTTTTAAAAAGTGAAATGCACTTTTTTATGAATATGTAAGATGAAATATTTTTAAAAATTGAAGTTTTCATGTTAGATATGTAAATACATAAGAATTCAGTGGTATGTATGTAAATTTTCCTATTAAATATTGGAACATCAACAATAATAAAAATTTACCTGTGAGCAATAGGAGGAGACAATGAATGCATGGCAAAAACTGCATTGCAAACATCTCTGAAAATTGAAAGAACCTTCTTCTCCTCAAAGTATGCTGCTCCTCTACTTTCCACAACATTAACCAAAGACTCCTCACAGAACTCCAACATGAGAAGCACCTCCTTCCTCCTACCCATGTCTAATATGCTATGTGCAAGCAAAGTAACAACATTTGGATGCCCTTTGAGCAGTTTCATGACTTGGATCTCCTTCATCGCCAGATCAAGTGACTCCCCATCTTGGCATATCATGTGCTTAACTGCAAATTGCTTGGATAAATTTGCAGCATCATGAGCGAGATACACACAAGAAAAGCCTCCTTCAGCAATCACATTCTGAACGCGAAGCCTTTCATTGCCAATTTCAATTAGTCTGCCTTCTAATCCAGTTTGCTCTTTCCCAGAGAATGGTTTAAACATCCACATGTCTAAAAAAAACAAGACTGAAAGTTTATTTAGATTTCCTAACTAATAAAATCAACTGTCAAAAGCTAAAAAAGTGGAAGAATATAAGTAAAAAAATTGTCTTAAACATGCAAAAAAGAAACAGGCCAAATACAAGAACAGTGTAAACAAATTCAGATAAAGATAAATAAAGTATTGGGCATGAAAGTCAAAATACTCTGTAAAAAAAAACTTCAACAAGCTAAATGCCAGGTTCAATATATATTACTGATTCAACATTAGGATTTGAGCTTTACCAATTCCAGTCTCCGCACATTAGTGTGTCTTATTGAAACCGAAAAAGAACGCAGTTACAACATAAATCATGAATCAGATATTTCTCTTTTTAAGAAAATCACCATTGGCTATTTCAAGCTAAATAGCCAATTCGCAGACTTAAATCGCATTTAATCTCACATTATACATAAGGAAAAAGCGCGGCTAAGCACTCCATACTTCTTGAAAATAAATTAAACCCTACGATCAGCTCTCCTGCAGGGTAGGGTGATACCCACCCTCTAAGAGCGGATGCCTCATCTCCAAGCAATCTTTAACTTAACCAGCATGCTGAAATAGATCAAAAAGTAAGAAGCAAGCGTACATCGGGTAACCATGACCGATCGAGGTGAGATCCACAAGACCAACGCAAAATCTACCAAAAAACGATACAGATCCCAGCTTCAACTCCAATCAGCATTGAAAGAGAGAGTACGTACCTTAAAAATCTTCAAGAACAAACCGCAGAAACAAAGTAGAGCAAAAAGCGCCGACGATCGAACCGGCGATCGCCAATGTAGACTAACGAGAGACAGATTATTCAGCTTGAACGGGATTGACTACTATCCAAATAGAGTGTGAACGGGGCTCATGGAATGGTGGGTGGGAAAGAGAAACGTGACATAGGAGATGAGCGCGATGGCGTGGGAAAGCGAGAAAGGAGAAACCTTTTTCTTATTCTTTCTCTAGGTAATGAAGACCGGACGATGGGACCTCCTTGTCACGGGCGAGTAGACGATGACTCCACACCGGCTATTGCCATTTTAACTGGGTAAATTCTAAAACATTAATTTAATTATTTATTTCGTTTGTTAGAGTAGAATTTGAGATCCCTTCCATATTTCAGCTTTGAAATGCGAATGTGTAAGTGAGAAATGCCACATTTTTTAATAGAAAAAATAAAATATGTACATGACAAATATGGTATTTCGAAGAAATCAAATGATCAGAAACACGGGCATATCAATAGAGGTCCGAGTAAGGGAATACAAATCTTATTGACAAATAATCTACCGACCGACACGGGGTGTCGGTCGACGAAGAGTTCCAACTGACGTAACCATCAGGTGAAAAGTCATAGTCAAGAGGACATGCATCTTTGCCCAGCAACTGAATATCCATGAAAAAGATAAATCGATCAGTACATTCGACCAACCCAAACACTAAATAATTGATCTCTATAAAATGACACGGTTGGTCGATCTTAAGATCTCAGACAACCCATCGACGCCAACTATTATATTCATTACAATGCAATCTTTTTTTCCTTCAAGTATGTTGATTTGGTAATTTTGTCAGTTGTAGTAATTGATATTTCCTCATATAAAATTGTATTATAAATCCCTTATAAATAGGAGGTCATGACATCAACAAAAGAGACTCTTAGATTCTTCCACTTCACTCTCCACACCCTCTGACACTTTAAGATTCTATAACACATTTGAATTCTTTCTCTCTGCACTTCTCTTCTCTCAGCTCTAACTCTCGGGGCATGTCTTTAAGGAAGACAATTTATGATTCAACATCCTAAACTATTGTGCGGTGAGTGTAGACATGCGCAGCAGAGAGATCCCGCAGCAATGAAGTTCAATATAGAATCAGCAGGAAAATTCAAAAACAAGTTCAAGAATTATGGGAGCGGATGATGGGTTAGTTTGATGCTCTTCAAAAAGCAATCATGCCAAAAAATGATCGACCCTCACTTTTAGGGATTGAATCACGGGGAACTCACCCCTAAAGGGTTCCCCCGAGGCATCCTCCAGTGTCGGTCGAACATGTTGGTAACTAATGATTAAAAGAGAAGGAGATTGATCCCGAGAATATAGTTGTGTAAAAATTATATAATTGACTCTGCTATGCAACGGTGCCAAACCAAAAACGGTGTCAAAAGCTTGATGCAATATTTTATGAATAAGAAATTTAAGCAATTAATGTTGGGATTCCACGCAAATATATGTATCGTTATCAAGTAAAAAAGGACTTTCTATTTAAGACCTGAATATCAAACCCACAGGGAAGATATGCAATATGCACTTTTTGGAAAACTTCCTCCACGGGGAAGGTTTAAATTTGAAATAATAAATTTACTAGGAAATTCACAAAAAGTTAAAACGAAATTACTGTCACTAATTTCAAATGTTGAGATATTATCATAACTAAATTATTTAACTAATAATAAAATTTAAATACAAAGTTAAAACAATAACTACTAAATTATTAAACTATGTTTATGTGAAGACGATTTCTTATGTGAAAAAATATCTTTCCCACTACAATGAGGTTTTGGTAAAATGAGATAAGATAAATGGTTTTAATATGTATTGTGTCAAATAAGAGCAATTTTAATTCTCTACCCTGATATAGTGTTATTGAAAATCATTTGCTAATCTCAGGTTTAGTCCCTAAATCCGTGGCTAGGCTAAGAGGATACTGACTCCCACTCCAGAGCTCCCACTTCCCTTCACCTAAATGTTAACTTCTTTTAGATTTAGGTTTGTGAACCCAAAGTCCATGAGCTGTAGATGTCGGTCATCCGTAGTGAGAGATGTGCTTGATAAGGTCAGGTCTATCATATCTGAAGACATTAAGAATGAGCTGAAAATTATTAATGTTGATCAGTTTTTCGCTCCCAACTTATACCCAAGGCAATGCTTTGACACTGCAAATATTGCAATGTTGACAACATGAAAAAATAGTATTAAAAATGTGTGGTAAAGATCTGAAAATAATGCCCGATGAAGTTGTCATTTTGATCGGCATGCCAAACAGAGGAGAAGTGCCAAAGTGGGAGAAAGTTCCATCATGTGGTGTGGATGCCCACCAAATGAAGAATAATATTGTGAACTTTAGAACCGGTGAGTCTTTTACCCCTTTTATTCAATTGTATATAATTTTTTTGTTATCAAATTTATTGATATTTTGAACTTTAGAACTGGTGAGTCTTTTACCCCTTTTATTCAATTATATATAATTTTTTTGTTATCAAATTTATTTTTTTCCTTTTAGTAATTTCAATGTATCCAAAAGACTTTACACTTTTGGCGAGATTATACATACATTTTCTTCATTTAATTAGCCTATTGCGTTATGTGAATTCCTTATTGAGCAAATTAATGCAGTAGCCATCAAAATAAGGCAAAACCTGCATTTCGTATATATATAAATGGTTTGCTTTTTTTACTAATGATTAGTATCTCATATAAACGTCAAAAAATATTAATTTCTTTGTGCAAAGCTGAATATGGATTTTCTTTTACACAACTATGATTTTATTAGTACACCTCTTTGGTTACTGAGGTGAGACCTCGAATGTTGAGGTGGCCAACAAATGTAAGTTGGAACTCATCACAGATTGATATAACCTTTAAGAGGCTGAACACTGAATAGACAACTTACATTTAGTTGTTTTAAAAATAAAATCTTATGTTTTTTTTTAGTTTTAATGATTAAACGTTTATTTTTTAAATAAATTACAGGTTCATAATCAATTTTTTGATCTGAAAGAGCATGAGCTAAATCTGCTCTTCAATCCAGATGAAGGATTACCGGTCCAGTTCCAGCAACGCAATTCCAAGGCAGACTAGAAGTACTTGTATCATTTGACATGGGGCTAGTTGTTTCATGTAACATTACCCCGGAGCCAATGTACACCGCAATGAATAAAAATATGGAATGAATAATTGAGCTGCTTAAAAGCCAAAAGAAATGGTTTACTGAATTTCAAGGAACCCTGAATATGATAACTGTTGGAGTGTCGAGTTTGCAGGAAAAAATCTCGGTGTTACAAAATAATATTGATAAATCTGAAAAACATACAACTAATAAAGGCGATGAGGTGGGAGAAGATGCTGCCTAGCCACCCTCCCCTCGTGGTGGAAGCCCTCATGATGATGTATATAATGAGTTGAACATTGAGGGAGCCCACCAAACGTCTCCTGTGGGAGAAGAGGTAGCCCAACAAAACATTGAGGGAGCACAACAATCTTCTCTTGTGGGAGAAGAGGGAGCCCAGTAGAACATTGTGGGAGCCCACCAATCGTCTCATGTGGGAGAAAAGGGAGCCCAACAGCCCTCTCCTATGGGAGAAGAGGGAAGCCAACAGTCCTCTCCTATGGGAGAAGAGGGAAGCTGATAGTCCTGTTCTGTGGGAGAAGAGGGAGCCCAACAAACCTCCCATGTTGAAGGCTCCCATGAACGATCCATTGTCAGTTTAATTCAAAGGATTAAGGGTAGACAAAGCAAAAGAAAAAAGAAATTGAGTTCTCCTTTCACTACTTTTGAATTGAAGAAAAGAAAAAAAATAAGGGAAGTCGATGAGTCGGTGTAGGCCGATGAAGATGTAGCTTGATACACCTAAAAAATGTGCAATTTTTCATATAATTTTAAAACCTATATCTGGTGATTTTCAATGATAATACACTTTAAAGGAAGAAATTTTGTATGTTTTTGTTTCATGTACAAAAAATAGACTTTTGGAGAAAAAGAAGCAAAAACGGTGCAATTTGGAGTAAAAACGAGCAAGAAAGAAAATTTTGTCCTCGAACATTTCGATATGACTTTCTATGCTTAATCTTATTTACACTTCTCACAATTTTTTGAATGAAAAAATATTTTAAAGAAATATTGTTTTTATGCTTATTTTGTAGGTATGTCTGTTAGGAACGCAACACAATTGAACGGGGCGAAGCAGAGCTAAAACGGAGTCAAACGAAACAAAATGGTGGAGTTGCACAGGGTGGGCGCCGACAGCACCAGAGCCAACGCCGACAGCACTGAAGAGCAGAACATGATGAGAAAACGACACCGAAAGCAACAAAAACGGCACCCAGGACGGTCATGGATCGATTTTTGGCGGTTTTTTATGTTTAAGAAAGCTCCGTGGCGGTTTTTGATGTTTAAGAAAGCTCCCAAGTGTTTCAAACACCTCATGAAGCAATTCAATGAATCTAGACACTTGGATAAGGCTCTTGAATGAAGAGACATGTCTTTTGGATGAATAGACTTGTCTCTTGGAAAAAAGGAGGGAATTTGTGTCTCTTTCAAAAAGAGGGCTTGGCACCTCTCATAGGCATGCGCGTGTGTGTGTGAGTAAGAAAATGTGGAGAATGTTTAGTGATCTTAGAGTAGATATATAAATGTAGATTTCTACCTTTTTAGAGAGATTAGTGTATAAATGTAGATTTCTACCTTTTTAGATAGATTAGTGAGGGGATTTTGAGAGAATTTGTAAGGGAATGTTCTAGCATTGCATGAATCAGCGGGAGATTTTGTGGGAGAGATTTTCATGTTTCTTTCAAGGGGAAAAATCTAAGTATTGTGGTCTTCATTATCTTATGATTTTGTAAACACTTATCTAATGGATTTATTTTGATGTAATGAAGTTTTTCATTGTGTTTTCTTCGTGCTTTGTGATGTGTTTCTCTTACTCTTTCTTCTTTATTGGTAATAATGACACGAGAAGATTATGTTGTTATCTTCTTTTTACTTTTCTTTTACAATGAGTAGGATTCATGTTTAGGAAATTGAGATGCATGTTTTAATTATAAATGTGCTGATTTTTACTTGCACTTCATTTACATTACAATAA